TGTTATCAAATTACTTATGTTAACTATAAAGTAGAGTACATATACAATATTTACCTTACTATTTATACCTTGTCTACTTGCAAATTGACCTTGTTATTACAAATTAGATGATAGGATAATACTTAAACGCAACTAAACTACAGTATATTTGCACAACAGGTGCGGCAAAACATCGACCAGTTTGGCGGCGATAAGGATAAGATCACAATATTTGGTGAGAGCGCCGGCAGTATGTCTGTGTCGGCGCTGGTGTTGTCCCCACTCGCCAACGGTCTATTCAAACGGGCGATCCTCGAGTCGGGCGCTGCGCTCAACGCTCGCACGAGTGGACACACAAAGGCGGCCGCTTTGGCCGACGCCAAACAGATGGCCAAACACTTTCAGTGTCCCGATGATAACGCTTGGTTAGACTGTGTGCGCAAAGTGGCCCCCGCGGACATTCATGGCTACACCGCGCTTAGAGTGGGCCCAATCGTGGGCACAGAATATATGCCATTGTCCGCCCAGGAGGCGTTCGAGCAGGGCAAATTTAACTCAGGTAAACTTAAATGTTATATACAGTAACTTAGGCTAAACTAAAACTAAATTCATGATGATGATAATCAGTGGGTAAGTTTTAATTAGTAATGCATAGTTTTTGTTTAAAATTAATTAAGTTTTATAAACTAGTTATATTAATTAATTATTTATTAATAATCATGATGATGATTTTTGGTGACAATAGACGTGGACCTGATGGCCGGTGTTGTGCGCAATGAGGGCTCACTAATAGCTCCGCCACTGGTCGGCAATATTACCGAAGATCGCTTCGCGGAGGCCATCAAAGGTCTTATTGGAGACACGGATCTAAATAAAGTGCTCGCCTTTTACCTGAAGGGTGTGGCGCCGGACGACTACTCGGCCTATCGGTGGGCCTATTATGACCTGTTCGGTGATATTGGCCTCAAGTGCGGCACATATTTGTTTGCCAAACACTTTGCCATTAAGTCAAACTCGACGGCTAATAACGTGTACTTCTGGGAGCAGACCTATCAGAGTGGCGGCCATTTGCAAGGCTGTGACGAGAAGACAATGGGCATCTGCCACGGATCCGATCTCGAGTTCGTGTTCTTCAGGACCGGCGCTAACCCTGAGCTCGACATACCTTTCAGTAAAGAGTGGATCACTTTATGGACTAATTTCGCCAAAACTGGGTATTTATTGTTGACTCGAGTCATGCGATCAGTAGTTTGTTTTGTTATAGACTTTAATGATTTGTT